AATTTTTCAGAATTTTCATCTCATACCCTTACCACAAAAGAGACGTGGCCGTGTTCATCGATGATACGGAACCCGTCGTGTGCAAGTTTGTATCGTTCTTGTTTTTTTTACGTATGCATATTTACAGCTACTGTGCATTATTCTCCAATCAGAGTGGAGGGCGTGGTGCGTAACACAGTAGTCGAATTCGGAACAGTATTTAAAAAAGGAATTAAAAACCTTTTTAAACGAACCGCATGGGAGGAACTTTCTACCGCCTGCAGGCTTGTTCTCGTGGGATTTCCATGGTGCGGACTCTGGACCTCTTCATATTAAACATAACTAACCATACAATAATCAATAGGTATAAAGATAATTCTTTGCAAATTGTTTTAATAACTTTGCAATATTTTCGTAACTAACTTTTTGTGGTAAATCTACGAAAGGCAAGGTGCTATGCAAATAAAGTTATTAGTGAACTATAAAGACATGGAATGGTTAAAAGACCTGTAATGTTGACTTACTGTTGAAGTACTTTCTCACGTAGATACCCATTTGAATATACTATAGGTAAAGGAAAATTAAAAGTATCCATAATTTCTGTATAATTTTACAGGATTTGAAAAGAGAATAGCCTCAAACAATATTGAAATTACGGATTAAAAAGGCCGAGCAAAGATTATTATCGTTAACCTGTTAGATTTCGAAATCCGAACGTCAACAAAACCATAGACAGCAAAAACCGGTCAGGTATACGTCACCTGTGGCGCTTCCCGTCAAATAGTCTTTGGTTAAAATAGCGCCAGTGTGAACTGGACTCGGCAAACATATAACAATCAATGAACCGACATGAATGAGTGTGTTAAGTGCTTAAACCAAATAAGTAAATTAGTCCACGGCTTAACTCAATATTGGGTCAGGTGTGGTCAACTTTTTTTTTACCAAAGATAACTGCTATATATACTGCAATATATAACATTATTATATTAAACAATAACTTTTTCTGTTTATAAAATATAATGTTACTTTATCCGTGTTTTAAATGTTAAATAAAACTATAATGTTGCTTTTCATAAACTAACTAGAATGTTTATTTTATCGTTCTCTGAGATAATATTTTGTGTTGAACTTTTTCTTTATGATACAATTGAATTTTCATGTGCACACAATCTTATCTAACACTTGAATTATAAAACGAAACAAAACCATTGTGTGTTCCCAGAAAATGTTTATCTATATCCTTAAACATATGTAAACACGTGCCCCAACCATAAAAAATAATTGAAAAACCTTATAAGCAAATATCAATTGTTATATTGTTGATAACGCGTGCCAAATCTATGGCCACAATATCACGTACACAGCCTTACAGGTAAGCTGATTTTATTACCCGTAAATGTTATCGTTAAATAAACTTATCAGTTCTGTCGGGACGTTCAAAGGATACAAGCATTGCACAAACAAAGCTTGCGATAAGCTATCGATAGTACAACCACAGATTATCCATTCGTTGTACAATTGTATAGTCTGTACGCAATTTTCACTGCTTTGTTCTAATTGAACGAGCGAAACGTTTTCTTTTTGAAATCGTTATCTAGTCGATCTTTGTACGTTCCTGTTAGTTCCACAGAAACGATATTGTTTCGGTTTCACGAACCTGTTAATTGTTATTCCTACCTATGACATGATCGAATATTTTATAGCTTAAACATAAGGTTTTGAAATGTAGATTGACATTATGTGTTATTAGAAAAAGAAATAGAAATAAATATATATTTAGATTGAAAAAAAAAACGACACGAGCGGGATTTGAATTGGCATTCAAAGCGTTTCGTGATGCTATTCTAATTCTAAATAAAAAATTGAATTTATCAAAAGGTATAGCATGCAAATATAATGTTGTAATTTGTTGTTAATAAAAGATTAAAAATTATAATAGGTATGTCCCTTAACATTGGAAATCTAATCAGTATAAAACTAGGCTTTGGAAACAAACAGAAATATCACAGAGTCATATTATTAGGAATTAAATATATATATAGAGTACCACAGTGTCACTTGTTTCGAACGAAGATAACTAAAAAAATCGTAACACCCACGAGACGGTTTGTGTATTTTGTCCACTTTTAAAGGTTCAGAACCCCTAGCTGAGGTCCGCAGTACAAACCATATTTGTTAATATTTAACACATCCCAGAAAAGGAATTCGTTTATCTATTGTCACGGTTAGATAAGCTTAGCCGAACTTTTGTCTTTATCTCGGGCAAACAAAAATTTCCTGTCATTCTTAGTGTTATGTACCTACGTTATGTGTTTCAACCGCACCTAGGTATATGACGCAAGTAAATAATTATTGAACATCTTTGGTTTTAAAAGATTTAGTAAAATGTTGGAGTTTTGTTTTCTTTAGTTACCTATGTTTATTATTATTTGAATATATTTTTTTTAAAGGTAAAAGTATTACATTTAAATTAGAAGTAAAACTTTATTCAAGACATTATTTTCCACACCTCTGTTACCAAATGGTTAAAAGTGTTACGTTAAATGCGTGAGGTCTAGCGTTCAAATCCTGGGGAAACAATATATTTTGTCGGCTGGGCATCCCACAAAAGCTTGAACTACTTACTTGTAAAAGAACCGATTGATCAATCTGAGACAGAAATGTATTTCAGAAATTTCACTTTTATTACGACCAGAAGTCAAATTCTACTAATTCACTAATTATTCTAAAATGTTATACTTAAATTAATTTTTAAAAATAGTCCGAAGTAGCAGTACCTACCTACCCTCAATATGTCCCCTATATTCTGAAGCGAAAAACCTTAATTTAATATAAAAGGAACCGCATTCTATTTTTGAAATCCAACAGTCCACAAACATTGCGTTCAAGAACAATCAATTCCATGTCTCCGTCCGATACGAACGCAATATTAATGGATACACGAGCGGTCGGCGTTATGACAAAAGCGATTCCGACGATAAATAATCATTGTCTTCAGACATTATTCCACCCTGTGCCTCGTAAACAGGGATGTGTTAATACCGCGCGCGTATGTGACACAGGCCTTTGTTCTGGCCTTCGGCGGATTTCAACGTGTCTCCGTTTGCGCCCCGTCGCGCGTGCTCGGCATTCCGAAAATGTTCCAAGTTCGAATTTCAAATGGTCCTTTTATTTTGATATTAAACATAATGACATTCGTCTGGACTTTGTGGTTTGTTAGACATAGTTATAGACGATATAGAGTTTTAATACGATTTGGACATAGACAATTTTAGATACGTAGATTTCGACTGTAGAGCTTTTTAAGGTTCAGTAGTGCGACAGTTTTTATCAACATTTTGAATAAAGAAATACCGTAATTATAAGAAAAATAATCAAATTTATGTTCCATACTGGCTTGGTAAACCTCTGTAATAAATCTATGTTAATTTAAAACGAATAGCACAGTTATTTTAACTACATAAGGGTAAATGTACAGTCTAAGAGAAGAGTATTTTTGAAGTAAAAGAAGAGAACGTAGATAAGAGTGGGGAAAATAGTTTTTTCACAAACTAAAGCCATTTTATTAGTAATACAGTGTTACTAAGATAATCGAAGCAAATGCCTCGTGGGCGTTTCGCGCAAAAACTAACTGCTACCACATTACGCCGATGCCTTTGATGATAAACATTCATTTGCCTGCCTGTCATAAATGTAGGTACTTAAATTACATTAGAATTAATGAATTTTAAGAAATGGATTTATGGTCTGAAAAATAAATTATTATTATTTTTTTATTAAATTGAGACTTGAATTGACATTTGGGATAGCATTTTATTTGGACTTTAAAAAATGGAGTGTATGAGCGTATTTTTTTGTGATTAATTTATTTTTAATGGATCTTAGAAACAATTTAATGGTAATTTAAAACGTACAAAATTTAATTGCCAATAAGATAAAGCCTATTCAATAATTACGGACTAACACGTAGATTTTGATCAATTTTGTTAAAAACGTAATTGTGCTTCTTTGTATGTCCACCATTTATAATTTTAACGCGCTAGTGGACACGTTAAAAAATATAGTTAAAAGAATTTTGGAAGAATCGGAAACCTGTCGACAAATCTCAATTTTGCAACATTCGCTTCTAAATCTCATGGGAACACTCGAGGTTGTCAATGACAATCCTTAATGATCCCTAAAGGAACTCTCACAAAAGTTATTAAACAATCTTGCGTGTATCTATTGAAAGAGCGGCCTTTTCGAAATCCATTCTTCTTTCATTGTTAAATAAACCATAAATCGTCATGACACAATTCGACAATGAATAACTATTATTCAGATGTTTCTAATAAAAAACCGTGAAAGTAACATCAATGCTCTTCTAGTATTTAGCGCCGTGAGGCGCTAAGTAGTCTGTATTATTTAAATAAAATACTTTAACGGTTTAAAACGCGATTTATATTGGTTAAACTTATTTTAAACGGCTGCTGCAAAGAAACGTCGAGTAGTTAAAACAATTTTCAAATAAGTTTAACTAATACATATCGCGTTTTAAACCGTTCTAGTGTTATATTTAAATGTGTACTACTCGCGTAAACTACTGACAGTATTAAGTCTGTATTACTTATTTCAATAGGGGAATTTCGATATCGAAAAATTAAACTTAAATGAACACAATGCTTTGGTTCGAATTTGAATATTATCAGTTTTATCTGAATTGTTTTCGAATCTATTAAATTTGACATTAAAAATATAGAGATTGTGTTAGATCTATCGATAGATAGACAAGTTATAGACGCCTTAGCGAGATAATAAAACACGTAAAAATAGCAAACGGCTGCGAAATAACAAGTAGTGAAACACAATAGGTATCCGAGCACAACAATAAAAGTTTCACAAAACAATTTGCAATTCTAATCGATCTCTCCTAATTGTTTCGTCAGATTTTATCGTCGCCGATAAGAGACGAGCGGAGGTCTTATCTCGCATCGCGAACGCTATAATTAAGAGAGATCGACCGAGTGGAAATTTAGTAAGAGATGCAAGTACTCACTGTGGTAAGCGCGAAGTGCGGGCTTTACTGATTAATGGTTTTGCGTATAAATGAGTCGAGTGCGCGGCGAAGACTGTCGAGGTGCAGCAAAAAACAGTAATTTATTGGCGGCGACTTCTCGTGTTGGCGCGGGCTTAACGAGTGTGTGGCGTGCGGCGTGGTACAGAAAAAACTGGCTCGTCTGGTACGTAGCTCGAGCAGCAGTGGCCTGAGGAAGAATAACCCCAGGAGTCGCTGGGAGCTGCCACCGCTTCCGAACGCACCCCGCGCGCCGCACCCCGCCAACGCCCGCCCGATACAGATCACGCATTCTACGAATACCTTCAACCACGGTGCTGGGAATCGCCTGCCATCTTTTTCACTCCTTTGATGATCCGCCGAATCGCGCGGGTCGAGAGGGGCTCAATGGATGTTTTACAGCGGAGACGCTTCCTAGCTTCACGGAGCGAAGGTCACGCGGGCAGGCGAGGTGGACGACGCAGCGTGAGCGTGGAACTCGCGAAGTAGCTGCGCGCGCGCAACACCGGCAGCGCCCACATGACCGGTCGCTGTGCGCGTCCCTTGCGAAGATATAGCCGTCCCGCTCCCGAGCGCCGCGTTCGCCGCTTCTCGCTCTCGCACGGCGACGTGGAAAAATGTATCTAGTTCTGTCGGGGCGACGCGACGCGGAGTGCAGTAGCGGTTAACTTTTTTTTTGTTTTAATAAATTTGTGGTCGTTCGTCCCGCTTAGGCGCGCGCCCGGGGCGTCGCGGAGCGAGACGAGAGACCGCCACCGGGTTACGCCTTCCGCGCGATCTCGTCATTATGTAGGTTGGCCGCATTAGAGCCTCCGTGTATTGAGTGCATGTATAAAATACAGAATGTAGTAAATGCGCCGCTCGCCTGCGGTAAGCCGGTTATTTATGTGCGCGCGCCGGCTCCCGTGCTACGCGCCGCCCCCAAACCTTTTGTTTGCCCCTCGATAGATTGATATTAATGTTATCGTTGCGCTGGATAACTTCTCTTCTAAGATTATTCAGCATTGATAACGTGGGACATATTTTCAGAATTGGTTAGACGCACGCTGTAATAGATTGTTAACCGCTATTACTGTAATATACATATAATACTAGGTATTCAAAATTACACGACTGTTTTCCTATTAAAACTACTATTGTTATTGTATATGTTTCTATATATAATAAAATCTCAAGCTTATTTAAATTAAGCAACGTCTCTTTCTTATTACGTACTTGTAACTGTAACTAGAAAAATTGACACTCAATAAACAATTTCGGATAACGGAGCGGAACACGCGACACGTCAAAAGTAACAATACACGTGACGAATAAAAAAAACTTTACAAATCTCGCATTCCATTCAAAACGGTCACACTTGTTAGATTCCAATCACTATCGAGGGTGACAATGGGCAAAACATCAAAACACATTACAGGATCCTTTGTCTACGAAATTGGGCTTCATTATGCGAAACTACGGGAAGCTTATAGTCTTATTGTGGCGTGTTATGGCCAGTGTAACGTCACAGTGGACAAAAGGTGGACAGCGAACCCAATGTTTGCTGACAATGTGCAGAGACAATCAGCATTTATAGATGAACAAAGACGTCAATCGTGTGTTCCTTTGTTGACAGGATGAAGAACGTCGACCACACCGCTTGATGGGCGTTGCTAATTTCCTAATTCTAACGTTTCTTCTAGAGAGCTTTCATCTTTGCCATGTTATGTATATAACAATAAGTAAAATTGTTATATGATTTAACATAGATGATGTCAAATAAAATTCATTAAAATAAGACATTCAGTCTCCAGATGAATTGAGTCACATCTTTTATATTCGTAGTTCTTATATCTACGCAACACGAACGCTTTGTCTTTTGCTGACGCAAGTGAAAACCAAAATGGAACGTGGACTAATAAGCTAAAATTGAACGTATCACTGTACATTAGAGTTCAATTTTCTACATCTACAACTTGTAAATCTTCGAAAGAATTGTCCGTTGACAACAGAGACATCGATTCTATTCTTTTTTTGAATATCGACTGTAAAAAGCATTCTCATGACGCTGTGAGAACAGTCGAGTGTACAGTCGCGGCTTAAATTCCTCGCTCTATTCAATGTAATCTGCTGTCTTTGTGTATGGAGTTACACGCTGGCCTGTCAAATTATCATTGTTAATTTCGAACACGAAGGTACACGCAGATCGGTAGACGGAAGATTATCAGATATTTTCCCGTCGGAACGCCGTTTAAAAGACTAGAGCCACATCCTTATTTGGAGATAATGGACCACTGCACCGTTACCATCTTGTTAAGAAAGCGATTAAACCGGGATAAGACAAAGTCAGAGATTTATTATTGCTCAAGCGCAAGATAAAGTCATCGTTTCGTATTCCTCAGTCATTGTTCACATCGATTTTAAAATTATTCTAATAAGGCGGACATATCTCTTCTTCAAAATCTCGATCGCGCATCGAAATCAGTATACAGGAATCTAATGGAATTTGTATGCATATTTCGGAATGATAAATGCGAGTAATCTACAATCTGCCACCGAATTCTTCGCTGAATACCACTTGTCCCTTATTGAACGTCCACTAAATTAATACTCATTTTATTTTTATACGGAAATTTATGTCTCGATCCGGACGCGCGCAAAATACAAAAATCACTCACCCATTTGTGGAAATTGCGTCGGCCCCGATGAAAAAACCCCGCACTGGCGCCCTCCGTCGGCGAGACGAAGCGATGACAAAAATCTAAATAAATATTTAAAATCAGACCGTACAATATCAACGCCGCGAGACAACTGCCCGTTAAGAAATCAGGAAAGTATGATAGTGAATTTTTTTCGCTTTAAATATGTGAATTTGCGGGACCGCACCGATTCGGAGCGATACCAAAAAAGACATCGACACGTGACAATCGGCCGCCGAATAATTGTGTTTTACAAACGGACCGAATAATAAATAATTCAATTTTGCGCTCCGCCGATTATATTGCGGGCTCAATCCATTCCGTATGATGCAGGCGACAATAAAAATGCAAATGACGCCCAACGATGTTGTAATTTACGGCGTCGAGGCTTTTCGGACATTTGCCACATATAGCTCGCGCCGATGTACCGCGTTTGTGCTTATATCATTAGCGATTACGCTTTCCTTTGAGTTAGTGTTTGCTTCTGGACACGTGCGTGTATCAGAACTATTGTTCTCGGATTGTAAAAACCGCTGATCTCACTTCTCTTACGTCAGATTGGCAGCAACGATGATCTATGCGACTAGTACTCTTAGCGTGTTTTTAGGCTGATTACATCATTCGCTTTTATGTCCCTGTAATGTGGAATTTTTCTTTTTACTGCTAAAAGCTTCATAAAATATGAATCCTAACCGTTATCTTCCTTAAAATACCTTTTGCATTTGAAAACATATAATGTAGATAGTGAAATATTATTGTTTTTGAACACCTATTTAAATAAAACTTTAACGGTTTAAAACGCGATATAAAATATTTTCGGAGACGTCGGGTCGTAAACGAAGGAATTGTAACTTAGTTTAACTATTATATTTCCCGTTTTCAACCGTTAAATTGTTTTATTTAAATGTGTCGCTCGCGTAAATTAGAGACAGTATTTAGTTTTTATTTACGTAACACACTTTGACAGGCAGTTAGCACACTTTATGATGTAGTTATGTATTTTTTTGTTAACTTAAGCTACATAAATTATAATTGAAATGTCACCGGGCACATTATAGATTCAAGCAACGTTTCCTTCTTTATCTACGAAGCCAGATGTGACAATTCTCAATGACGGCCGCGACTTTGAAAAAATCAATTTGCAGGTTATTTAGTGACTATATATTATGCAGATTAAATCGATTGTGTTCTTCGAAAATCGATAAATCTATAGAGGCGAGACAAATAAGTCATAACATTGGAAGTCCCGGTAAGGACGAGGCCGGACGATTTGTTTTTTTAGCTTAGGTATCGATGCAAAAATCGAGTTGCTAAATAAAAAGTGAACGATCTTTGCGAACCGGTTCGATCGTGTCGTGGTAAGTACCTACATTAATTATTTGAAACACATTGTCACATATTATTATGTTAATTGAAACGAAACGGTAATGTAGACATTGGATCTAGACGTTTACTATTAAAAATTATCTATACTAATATATAAAGCTGAAGAGTTTGTTTGTTTGAACGCGCTAATCTTAGGAACTACTATTCGATTTAAAAAAAAAGCTTTTCTGTTGGTTAGAGAGAGAGAGATTCATCGAGGAAGGTTATAGATTATAAAACATTGCGCTGTGACTAATAGGAGCGAAGAAACAGCAGGAAATATGGAAAAAATGCCAAAAAATATTCATTTTTGTAGGTTTCCAATGTGTGCGAAAATAGTTCAAGATACCCCAAAAATATGTATGAAAGAATTATTTCTCTTAAAATGATCTAAAAAATGTCCGCGATACTGTATGTCTGTCTTTGAAGATTAATTTGCAAGACGGAACGCAACCGACATCGTGGGACAACAGACTAAATTAAAAAAGGTAAAGAGGAGGTTTGCAAAAACAAATTTAGGTGCCCAAAATCACTATTCTACACGGACGAAGTTGCTAACATAGCTAGTGTTTTAATATGACCTCGTATTCTCAATACCTAAAATGTATAAAGCGTTTGTGGCTATTATGCAGAATTCTTGGGTTTTCAAATTATTCTGGTGATAATTGAGAAATGGTTCTCAAGCTAGATTTTAAATAAGATGTTCATTGAGAACCAAAACAAACAAGAAATACTTAATTGTCACCACCAGAAAATTACAAAATAGGATTTAATTAATCCAGAAATTTAATTAATAAATGTAGTGAGAAACGGCGGCCTTATCGCTAAAAAGCGATTTCTTCCAAGCAACCTTGAAGGTGGAGATTTACAATAATAACTGATAATAAGCATAACATTAGAGCTATAATAAGTTTATACAATGCTAAAAATGTTCAAGTTTGACTTATAATTAAAATAATTTACTTAAACATATATATGATATCCTATAATTATGTTTCATTTTAAAATTAAACAGCTTAAGCTTGGTCGTGATTATAAAATACCTAATCAATTAACACATTGTCCCTCATCGAAGGTTATAAATAAATTTGTCCGCTGCTTTTATTCACTTTGGGAACATTAAGCCGTGGACTTGTATTTTAAAGGCACTTCATCGACACATTTCAATGTAATTTGATAGTTATACTTTGACGAATTTAGATTGACGCATTAACAATTTTTTATATAAACAACTGTTGATATAAAGAAGTTGAAATCGATAGTAACCTTTACACTGTAGATAAAGAAAACCAGATAAATATTTTATTATGCAATTGATAAATATTGTACAACTACCCCCTATTTTTATTTCAGATTTTACGTCTATTTTGACTTTGTATACGTAACGTTGTGTGTTGCCCAAACAATTAAATCTTAAAATAAACTTATCATGCTATATTACACGTTATATAGGACTAATGCGAAATAAATCCATTGAATTTCGCCCTGACGCATTCATTATTGAATATCGATACCTACACCCACATAATTATTTTATATTCATTACTAATAAATTCTGTATTTATGAGATATTTCTATACAAAGCGTGCTTATCTTCTACTGCAAGCGAGAGATAAGCTAAACTAATAATTCAAATGGAATGAAGCCAAGATCTAGCTTATAAATTATTGATACAGCTGGTACAAGCTAACTTTGGGGTCGTTACAAAATTTTCGTTTGTTTGTTTGCTAAATTCCTGGTCCTTGGATTCTAATTTTAAATTATCAGTAGGTAATTTAAAAATAGAATTTCTAGTGTTTTAACATGCATTTGATTTAAAAAAAAAAATGGGTAATTTTGTTATTTACCTACCCACAGAAGTTTGTTCTTTTTTAAGTATGTATTTCCAATAAATTAATTATGAATAAATATAGCTTTAGCATCAATAGTATTACTTACACTGGACGACAAATTATTTTTGAATTTAAAGCGAGTAGTTTCGGTGTATCAAATTTCGTGACACCTTCTCGACACCTTGAAGATATTTTAAATGCTCCGATCAACTAGCGAATACATAATAAGTATATAAGGCCGTCCTTGTTACATGATTGGTCTAGGACACTTAAAAATACTAATATTATTTCACTTTAAATGAAAGTAAAAAAATAACACTTACCATTGTCAAAGTACCTAAACCATTTTTTTATTTTAATTTTTAACATCGAAACTTCTGAGCTTTTTGTGATTGTCTGATTCGTCAATTTAAAAAGTTTATAATTATGTTATACAGAACGTAAATAATGAAAAGGATATCTCCATTTTATAAAAATGGACGTTTCACTACGCTATATAATGAAACAGAATATTGAAGTCCCGTTTCCCCCTGTTGGGCATGGGCCATCAAATTTCTATTTCCGTTATCCTGGGATTCGAACCCAGGACTAAAGACGGCTAAAGACGGTCAAAATATTAGTAGTCACATATAATGCGCCTTAGCTAAGTTTCTAACGGATATGAGTCCGTAATGTATCGGAAAATGATATTTACCTACAGTTACCACACAGGAAGTCATTGTTTGACGCCGACAAAGTTTCAAAC